GCGGTAGAAAGGGGGAGGAGGGTGCCGCAAGTGAGTTTTTTTTACGACGTGTTGTGAAATACACGTCCCAGAGCTGTAGGGGGAGCTCGTTGAGAAAACATGCGATGACAAAAATGAAAACCAGCGAAGAAATGGCTAGAGTTGCCAAGTTCCCCTTTAATTTATTAGCTCAGTAAACAGTTTCCTATGAGTTTATGGTCTCAGTTGCTAGTTTCAAGTTCTTCTGATCTTCACCTGTAAATTATGGTTATATTTGGAGTAAAATAATAAATCGAATAAATCACGAGTACATGAAGCATGTGATTAAAACATCTACTAAGGCTGAGAGACAAAAAAGGCTGGCCAATCATCAGATCTGTTTGGAAGATAAGGAGACGGTAACGTTCCTCAAATTAACCCGTTGTGCGTTCTACATTGTTTTCCACAGTTTCTTACTCTCATTCAATTACGTCATCTCTCAGAAATGGTTTAGTGGCCTCCGATGGGAGAATTAGCACTACCAGCCTTTTTGTCTTAATGAACTCATGCCTAATTGTTGTTGTATCTGAATACGGAATACTTCTCTAAGGCAGTGAAGGCTCTGTGAATATAGCCAGAGTTCTTCAGAGTTTTTTATCTTTAATAATCCAAACTTAAATAACAGTTTTCTTCACGGAAATAAATGACATGCTGAGATATAAGCCAACTGTAAGTATATATTTTTAAAGTTTTCTTACTCCCCTTACAATGAAGAAGGCCTCTCAACCCTGTGTTAAGCTTTGGCGACCACCAGCAGGAGTTGGAATACAGCAAAACACAGGGAACCCTCATCCTGACTTCATCGCTTTGCACCCACACGACTGTCCTCACTGACTGTTAACAATCTTAAAAGCCATTACAGTATGATGTCATCATTTTGGGAATCCAAAGGGGTGAAAGGCAGCCAGCCGGTGAGCCTGAGACAAGCTGTTTCTCATTAGTGCTGCTTGGCCTGCACTTCCATACATAAGCAGAGTCAGTCATAGCTCTGATAGATGACAGTCGCCCTTGCTGCAGACTAATAAATCTTGTAGTTACTGTGTGTCTGTCAAACAAATCCAGTTGTGAGACAAATAGGAAAAAGCTGTTGGATTCAAAACAATAAGCGCAGATACTGTCATCCACCACTATTCTTGATAAAGGCCGAGGCAAACTGTCTTTTCCTTCCCCTTCCAGAGCTTTTTTTGTATATTATCATCCAGTAACAGATAAGGGCTGTCGTCTCTCACAATGTACTACAAATAGTTGCACGGGCCAGATGATGGCTTCCTTTAAAGCAGCTGTTTGTTCCTCAGCAGGAGTCCTACACTCTTCCTGTGTTTTCCATTGTGTTTTTAAGAAGATCAAACAACCGCAAACCCACTGGGTTCAGATGCTCAGGGTCAACCTCCAAGTGGGCCTG